ACCTTGGGGGCGACAGGGGGCAACCCAAAATTCTGAGTTAAGAAATTCTGGTCGATCCCACCAGGTCCCCCCCCCCTCCCTGCGGGCCCGCCTGAGAAGCAGATTCGGGCCGGCGCTCACTAATCCCAACCCTGCGTCACCTCTCTTTCGAGCCATAGCCACTGCAGTCGCATGCCTCAGAAGGGCAGCCAAATAGGACGGGTGACGGCGTTGATGATGATGACGGCGGTGGCGACGGTGGTGGCGTTGACGACGACGTGGGCAGGGGTGCTCTTGATTATGGTGTTGATGGCGATGGATGCGGTGACGGCACGATGATCGCGACGACGAGGGCGACGGGCACGATACCGACGTTGACAAGCACGGCGCAGCCACACGATGAAAATGGTGACGCCGAGGAAGGCGACGAAGGCCACGCAATGATCGATGCTGGGAGGACTGCAGGGACGTCTATGACGTTCGTTGCCACGGGGCAAAGGGGCACACTCGACGACGAAGAATGAAACGACGAGGATTTGGGGGGAGATGGCAAGGAGGAGGGACGTCACGAGATGTCTTTTTGAAAAGTGTTTTGCTGCTCGCAGCGCCACCAACGCAAAAAAAGCGCAAGCATTGCGCGGCCCGACTGCCACCGCGCGCGAAAGCAAAGGCTGAATCGCATCGTATTCGTCCTCGCCCCTCAGCCTCACTCCTCGCACCTCCCCCTCGTCCTCCTCCACCTCCTCCTCCTCTCCCTCCTGCTCCTCTTCCTCCTATTCCTCCTCCTCCCTCCTCCCCCCTCCTCCCCCCTGGATATTCTACGTTGCGTGCGATCTACGAAACACTCAGTCACTCTGCGACATCTGGCCACGAGCACCGCCACCACCACCCTCCGCGCGCTTGCGCTGCGTGCCCCTGGACGCGCAGGTCCTCCTCCGTCGCGACAGCGTCGTTCGCCTTCAGGAACACCCGACTCAGGGCCGCGGGGCGAAGCTCGGCCATGGCCTTACTGGGGCAGACGTTCAGCTGCATGACGGTCGCGACCTGCCCCACGTGCTCATCATTCTTGGCCACGAAGCTCGGGAGCTGGACCTCCACGGCTGCACGAGGATCCTTCTTGGAGGACTTTCAGAGCCTTGTATTGGGTTTTCTGATTGCGATTTGACTTGTTGCCTTCGTCCTGCGCGTCGCCGCCGAGATCGCGCCTGCTCGGAGATGCCCTCCGACGCATGCTTGACGTACGTCTTGCAGCCCAAGAGCCACGACTGCACGGCGGCGTCACCCTTCTTCATCTCGGCAAAGTCGTGGCCTGCGAGGGTCTTCACAGGAACGGCCCACTGAGCACGGCCAGCAATTGGCGAACTGCTTGTCACCGTCATAGTCATGATGACGGGCCTCAACTCACTCAAGTAGAGACGCGATGGCTCCATCGCCGCCGGCGCCGCCTGCAAATGCGACGCGGACATCGCCTCGCGCCGCTGGCCAGAGGAAACGAGAACAAATAGCTATGGAGGCCGAGGCCCTGGGGGAGGAGGTCGAGGGAGGACGAGGTGGAGGGCGGAAAACACCGTCGACGGAGGAGGTCGAGGAGAAGGAGGTCGCGGAAGGAGGTCGAGGGCAGAGGAGGTCGAGGAGGACGTCGAGGAAGGAGGGGGGTCGAGGGAGGAGCAGGTCGACGCTGCGGCAGATGGGCGAGTGAGCCGAGGGATGGACGGAGCGGAGGTCCAGGGGAGATGATGTCGAGAAGCCTAACTTGGGGCCTCAAGGGGGCCACAGGGGCCCCGACGGGACGCTGGTCAGATGGGGGCCCGAGGGAAGGCGGGCGGGTGGAAGGGTTGCGAGGAAGACGAGTCGCCGTTTCGCCAACCCCGGGGAAACAACGCGTTGTACATCGTGGCGCACTTGTCATTCGCCGCACAGAATCAGCCCGCCTGAAAGCCACGCGGCGCCGCGCCGATGGTAAAGAATCGCAGCTACCCACTTACACGTTGGCCGGTTTCGCCTCGGTCGGCGGAGTCTCGACGGACTGGGTTGCGAAACGGCTCCGCGGCCCTCCGGCCCCCCGTCGCCCCCCCCCCCCCCCCCGACACCTCTGGTAGGCGCGGGGCGAGAAGCCTTCGAAGGCGGAGCACATTGGCACAGCAGGCCACCAGCTTTCACTACGGGACGTTCTGCAGCACAGGCAAGACCAGCTCAATACGCTCAGGTGCACCTCCCTGCCCGAGCGCCACCTAGACTGCGTCGGTCACCAGCACCTCCCTGCAGGTTGGGCCAAACTCCTTGCCCAGAAGACCACCAGAGCACGCTTCGCGAGTGCCTCCCAGCCCACAGCCTGCTTTTATAGACGGAGGCAGCGGGCTCGGGGGCGCGCGTGCGTCACGCTGCAGTCACCCTCGCCTTCTGGCGCCGTAGGGGCACACCAGAACGGGTTGACGAAGTCCTGGCCATCAGGCTTGCCGACGACGAACTGACCGCACGAGCTCCCCGAGGTCGAGCGCCTTGTCGGGGCCCTTCTGCTCTGGCGTGCGGACCTACACGCGCCGGGTCGCAGGCGCCACCCTGAGCTCGGACGGCTTGAAATCCGTCTTCGCACCGACGGCGAAGGGGTTCGGGAAGATCTGCAGGTCGCGGTTCGAGTCGCACTCGCCGCTGAAGCAGGCGAGGACCACGGTGATCTGCGCCTTCACGTAGTCGCTCGTCCAGCTGGCGTTCGCCTCCGGCGCCATCTGGCTACACGTCACCTCCTCCTTTGGCTTGCTCGTGGACACGGTCCAGAACTCCTTCAGGTTGGCCAGCATCAGCACCTTATCATCCAAGGAGGAAGCGTAGACCCCCGTCGGGGCGAGAGTCGCCGTCGCCACGCCCACGTCCTTCACGACCCAAACGGCGCAAGGGCAGGATGGCTCTGCCTTTTTCAACTTCACCACAGCGCCCAACTTGAAGCCAAGCTTGCCCAGCTAGTACGCTGCCGATTTGACGTCCTGCATCGGCTGCAGGACAACGGCATTCCCGGGCATCGCCGACGGCTGCGGCGACCTGCGCTCGGGGACCATGCCCGACAAAGACGCCGCTGCAACCTTGGCGGAAACAATACAGAAGGAAGGCCGACAGCAGCAAACGCCCGAGGAAACTCATCACACATCACCGATCTGAAACATCGAAACCAACGTCAAACGTGCGAACGTCAATATCCTCGACCCCCGCCTCATCGCCACCCTATCCTTCCTTTTTCCCCGACAACGAAACCGCCTGCAGTCTCGAATCGACCGCACAGTCACACTTGAAGCCCGCTGCCCCCTCAGGGGGGGCTACCCTCCTGGACGCGCGCGACAAAGCCGCCGCCATCGCATCCTTCTCTTGTCTGCATTCCCTCATTCCTCCGCCGCCCCCCCTCCGCTTCCCGCCTGCCCCCTCGCACCCCCCCCCCCCCCCCCCACACACCACCACCACCACCATCGCCCCCCCGACGGGGGGGACAAGGGGGGGAGGGACGGGCGAACGCACGCGTGGATTCTCCATGGCACGAACCTGTTTCACCTGTTTGCCTTTGAGCCTGTGGCACGCAAGCCACGGGTTGTCGAAGTCGGCAATGCCCGTGGCCTGCATGAGCTCGTCGACGCACGGCTGGGAGGCTTCGTCGAGGGAGCTGAAGTCGTGCCCCATCCCTGCTGGCCTTCCTCTTCTTCACCAAGTGCGCGGCCAGCCGCGTGTCGCGCACGCACGTGATCTGCAACTTCGTACAGTTGCCCACGCCGCACTCGTCGCAGGCGCGGCGGCGCGTCTCCCCCATCACGGTCTCGGCCCGCAGGGTGTCCGCGAGCAGGCTCTTGGAGCACAGTTTGGCGACGTCCGACTCCAGGGTGGCCTGTTTGTCGACGACCTCGCCCACTGGAGAATGCATCTGCAGCGGCACGCGGCGACGCGGACCCGCTGCATCGGCACCAGAGCCGACGGCCAGGTCAAGGCCGCCAGCTTTTTCAAAGAAGGCGCCAACGTGCGCGAAGGAGGAGCCCGCGCCTCTCGGCACCTGGAGGCCGGGTGGACGAGACGGCGAAGGGGGGGGAAAACTGAGGGTCTGGACGCCCGAAATGGGCACAATGCCCAACAGCAGATCCTCTTCATGTTGAACAGGACTCGCTGTCCGCGCCGCCGCGGCCTGTCCATTCCAGACAGAAGGCCGCCTGCCCAACAGCGGCCGCTGTTGTCTCGGGACACCTGCACGGCGACGGCGGCGAACTTGCGCAAGGAGCGCCCCCAAGACGCCCAGGCGCCCAGAACGGGTTCGTCTGGAGGGCGTCTCTCAGCGCGTCGCCCCAAGCGATGCTCTCCGCCTTATTGGCCCGGAGGTGGCGCGAGAAGCTGGAGTGCAGCGTCAGCAGGCCCTCGAGCTCCGAGATCTCCGAGGTATCCACCCTTGTCAAAGCCGCGACGCCGATGTCGACGACCACGGGGAAATCTCGCACGACTGCGAAGGAGATCACCGTGAACTCTATGCCTTCAGCGAGCGCTTTCTGCAAGCTCGGCCAGCGGCCGCACAAGTGCACCTCGTCGAAAAGACGCTGGGAGCGACCAGCGTGTCGGAGCAAGCCACATTGCTCATGATGGCCCGCAAGTACACGTTATTGTGGGTCCCTCCGAAGGTGGCCACTTCCATCACCTCGTTCGGCGGCAGGCCGCTCTTGGTGGACAAGTCGTCGTTGAATGTGATCCACTCCTGGCACATCGGGATGGCAAGGTCCACCTCGACGGCGTAGGCGCCGAAGCACGCTCGCTGGTCACTCCAGCCAACACGGCAGTGGTTACCAAGGTTGCTTGAGGCTCGTCTGCGCCTAGGGCTACAAAAAGAACTCCTTGCTCCTTCCTGGGCCCAAGACGGGCCCAGATGCCCTTCCTCCTCCACCTGCCCCTCTCGCCCTCTCCTCCAAAGGGTTTGACATTCGGAAAAAACCGAATGAGGGGATTCGAAATATAGACTTCTTAGGTTGGGGAGGGGGTGCTTTTCGCCATCGGCCCCCTTGCACCTCGAAGCCCAGGCCGCCGCGATTCCCTGGACTGGCTCCAACTCTGCGAAGGGGAAACACGCCACGACCCTGAGGAGCTGGCTCTTGGTGCCCAGGACCGAAACGATCGACTCGAAGGCCTTCACGACCTCCCCGTCCTGCCTGTAGCGGGCCACGGCCTTGACCAGGCGATCCCGCACCTCGGCCAGAGCACCCTCGACCGACGCCATTCCCTTGGGATTCACGTGGCGGCCGACTGAAAAGGAAAGGTCCGATGGCGCAGAGCGAAGTTTGGAGCCGAGCGCCGAAGGAAAAAACGGATCATCGACCAGTGGAAATCTGCCGTGTCCAACCTTTGCGAAAGGTTGCTAACGCAGTTAGCTAAAGTGCTAACCTCCCCCCCTAACCTATTTAGCGATAGCTAGCTAAGTGGTTTAGCAGCACTTGCAACTGATAAGGTAATAGGTTACTAACCCGGAACAAAAGATTACACCCCTTCCCCGTAACCTTTAGCAAAGCCGTGCTGCAACATAGCTAAAATAGCACAAACATTGGAAGGCTGGGTAAGTAGAAATTTAAGGAGGGCTAAAATGCTAAACCGTTGTAGCTGTTATGTTTTAACAAGAGTTGCTAGAAGGTTGGCAGGAGTTGCCAGAAGGTTGGCAGAGGTTGACAAGGGGTTGCGAATGGGATGCAAGTGGGCTAACCTTTACCAAGCCAGTGGCCCTCCCAAGCAGTGACGCCCCCCCCCCGGTGCCGGCACCCCCCCCCCGCGCCGACTTTCCCCCCCAGTGCCGGCCGGCGCACAATCCCGCGTGCCGGCCCCCCCCCTCCCCGGTGCCAGCACCTCCCCCTCCTCCTATTCCTCCTCCTCCTCCTCCTCCTCCTCCTCCTCCTCCTCCTACCTCCTCGTCCTCGTCCTCGTCCTCCTCCTCCTCCTCCTCCTCCTCCTCCTCCTCCATCTCCTCCTCCGCCTCTTCCTCCTCTTCCTCCTCCTCCTCCTCATCCTCCTCCTCCCAAGCCCACAACACCATCAACATCAGCATCGCCATCACCATCACCATCACCATCACCATCATCACCATCATCATCATCATCATCATCATCATCATCATCATCATCATCATCATCATCATCATCATCATCATCATCATCATCATCATCATCATCATCATCATCATCATCATCATCATCATCATCATCATCATCATCATCATCATCATCATCATCATAATCATCATCATCATCATCATCATCATCATCATCATCATCATCATCGTCATCATCATCAGCATCATCATCATCACCATCACCATCACCATCACCATCACCATCACCATCATCATCATCATCATCATCATCATCATCAGCAGCAGCAGCATCAGCAGCATCAGCAGCAGCAGCATTATCATCATCATCTGCAGCAGCAGCATCACCACCACCACCACCATTATCATCATCAGCATCGTCATCATCGTCATCGTCATCATCATCATCATCATCATCATCACCATCACCATCACCATCATCATCATCATCATCATCATCATCATCATCATGTCCATCATCATCATCATCATACAACCGTCATCATCATCATAATCATCATCGTCATCATCATCATCGTCATCATCATAAAATTCAGCATCATCAACAGCATCATCGTCATCACCATCATCATGATCATCATCATTATGATCATTATCAGCATCATCATCCTCATCATCATCATCCTCCTCATCCTCATCATCAGCATCATCATCGACGACACCACCATCATAAACAGCAGAAGAAATATCATCAGCAGCATAACCATATATCCGCCGATCCGGAGTGTGAGTTTAAGAAAGCGGAGTGTGAGTTTAAGAAAGCTACAGCCTGAGCTTCAGCTCTGCTGGGGGGAGGGCCCGGGGGGCTCTGCCGGGGTAGCGGGGAGAAGGGGGGTGGGTCATGGTGTCCACCCTCTCTTCCCCCCCCCAACCCCCTCGGGAACCCCAAGCCGCCCGACCACGGGCCAAAAGGGGCCCAGAAGGCCAGCAAGACGGTCCAGGAGGCGCCCGAGACGGCCCAAGAGCGCTGCAGGACGCTCAAGATGGCCTGAGGATGGCCCAAGAAGCCTCCAAGACGACTCAACACGGCCCCAAGAGGACCCCCAAGAGGGCCCCGATAGATAAGCACGTCCAAATTCTGTTGGTTTGTTTTCGCATTTTGACATTGCCGCCTTTTCGGTCTTAAAAGCGCCGACGACTGTCCAGGAGGCCCGCAAGATCGGACAGCCCAAGAGGCCCCAAAGAGGAGCCAAGACGGTCTGAGAGGGCCCCCATGTAGCCCAGGAGGCCCCCAAGACCACCCTGAGAGGCCCCCAAGATGGCCCCAAGAAGGCCCAAGATGACCCCAAGAGCCCCCAAGATGGTACGACTTGGTATTTCTCGGAAGCGAAGGCGATGAACTAAGAACCATTCACCCGTCATCGTCAGCAGTCGTCGGTCGTCTGTCGTCGGCCCTCGGCCGCCGTAAGCCACCAGTCGTCAGTCGTCTGCCGTCAGTCGTCCGTCGTCGTCGTCGGTCGTCGGTCGTCGGTCGTCGGTCGTCGGTCGTCGGTCGTCGGTCGTCGGTCGTCGGTCGTCGGTCGTCCGTCGTCGTCGTCGTCGTCGTCGTCGTCGTCGTCGTTGTCATAATCGTCGTCGTCGTCGTCGTCAATCGTCGTCGTTAATCCGTTCGTCAGTCGTCGTAGTAATTGTCCCGCTCGTCGACGGTTGGTCGTCCGTTGTCGTCGTCATCTTCCATTCCCACACGCATCAGGAGCGCCCCGGATTGGCGGCACTGGCCAGAGGACACTACAATACGCCAGCGCAGCCGAGGACCTTGCGGGGACAGCTGCTCTACTGCTTATGCTGCGAAAGCAGCAGAAAGAATTGGAGTAGAGAAACAGGCAATCTAAAAGGAATGATCACCTCCCTGCTCACCTCCCTCCTCATCCAACCCTAGCACCGTTGCATTTACCTCCCGCCCTTTCAAGGTGGCGTTGTCAAGGCTTGAGGGGTCATGTGTACACGGTTCTTCTCGAGCACCCTGAGGAGGAGACGCACAGGAGATGACAGAGCAGCACAGTAATTCCAGAACCGGCATCCAGAGGCCGCCCTTGATGACAAATCGACCGAGTCGCATCACCAAATCGATCCGATCGAACCCCACCAGCTGGAGCAGGGTGCGACTCAAAGCGGCACGAACATAAACGGGCGGAGGTCTGCGCAGGCGTGTTGGCTCGGCGCTGAAGCCCCTCCCTGTACCCCCTGCCCGACGCGCAAAGCGCGCAAGGGTGGCGGAGAAGAGGGTGCAGCGCCGACCCGGGAAGCCTGTGCGGACCTCAAAGATCAGTGCTCTGCCGTCCTCTGCCACTCGAGAACTCCACCCGTGGAGCAGTGGAGGTTCTCCTGGGGCGGGGGGGCGTCGTCGGATCAGACCACGCCGCTCGCCGACATCGGACCACATCATCAAACGGAGCGAGCCGCGGACGCTTCGTTGTCGGGTCGACCCAAGCCGCGCGGGATCGGAGCGCGTCGTCGAAGCGATCGGGTCGTGGGCGGCCCTGGGCCCCCCCCCCCCCGTCCGCCCACAGAAGGCAGCGGGTGCCTAGGCCCACCGGCTGCAAACATGCATTTCAGGGCCCCCTGGCGGCGGGGGGCGAGCGCGGCGTGGCAGGCGCGTTAGGCGCCGCAGATGCGCCGAGGCACGACTGGGCGGCGCAGTTGCGGCGACCGGCAGCAGCCGAGAGACTAGGGGGGAGCACCGGCAGAAGGAAAGGGAAGGGGGGGGGGGGATTCGCAGAAGGCATCACCATGCCTGGTCAGGACCATCCTGGGCCTGGGCATGGTGTGTACGCCCACATGGCCGAGGCTGGGAGGGCTTCAACACTACCCTACGGCCCAGGATAGCTCTGGGATGGCCCTGGCCCAGCATGCTGGTGTATGGGGAAACCCCACGAGTTGTACATCAGGAACAACTGAACGAAAGTTAGAACCTGGAGGAACGTGAACATGGAGAGGAAGAGGAAGAACAAATAGCCACAAGAGAACATCGGGACAAAGTCGCTCGAAGATTCTAGGCCTGGTTCAAAACCTCGCGGCCCTCAACCATCTTTGCTTGGAGAAAGGACTCAGAAAGTCCGCGTAGAGGAGAGCGAACACGAATGGGGAAGCGCCGACCCCCTGCACCCGGGGCGTCGCGGTCCGTGTCGCTGGCTTCGTTGGTATCGCATGCCGGAACCAGGTTCCACCGCCATCGCCCGGCTGTGAAAAGCTTCGTTATGTCGTGGCACCCGAGAAAGATTCACAAGGTCAAACAAACAAGGTCAACTTTCAGCCCAAACACCGTAGATCAGACGCCCTCCGCCGTAGCGTTCCCGAAGGACAGCGCCCTCCTCCCCGGGTGATGCCCACAGCGCCGGGCTCTGTACCGACCATCCGTCGCGGTTGTCCAGGGAGAGTGGTGCCGTGGACGCGGTGCAGGGTTTCGTTTGGAGCCGATGCTCGCCGAACCCCGGGAAGAGCTCCCGCCGGTCCACGGGAAAAAAGGCGGGAAAGGAAAGGGACAGGGTGTGGCGCGGGGACGGGGGCCGGGGCAGGGACGGAGAGGGATGAGCGGATAGCGGGGCTGGGGAGGAGGCGAAGGACACCCATGAATGTAAACGGCGGGTGTAGACAGAATCCGCATGAATCCGCATACTCATTCGCCATGATGCGGAGTACACTCAACCGATAGAGGAGCGTACCAAAATCACAAGGGTGGCAGCGACGGAAAAACAGAAGAAAGAGAAAGGCTGAACGGATCAGGCGGCGGAGGCAAAGGGCTAGAGGAACGGCACCCGAGGCCATAAAATGGCAACCATGACCATTGGAAGAGGAACTTGGTGGTGAATACCGCGGCCACTAGAGAACAAGCGTTGGACACAGGACTCGTCAACCCACCGAGATACCTACAAATTGTCACGCCACCAGCCCGAACACAGGAAGGAACGCGGACATGGCTGCTTCTTGAACTACGCATCGGCCCAGCCGAAATTCACCCACGGACCACATGCGCCCGCGCCCACTGAGACCCTGGGTGGAGCCCCTTATGGGGACACGAAACGTGCGAGGGTTGTGCCAAGATGGGCCCGTGGACAGCATGCGCCTGCGCCCGCCGAGGCCTTCGGTGAAGCTCCCTATGGGGCCACGAAAAGTGCGAGAGGTGTGCC